TGCAACCAAGGTATGTGCCCTTGACTGGAATTGAACCTGGGACCCTTTGGTCCGCAGGCTGATGCTCTATCCACTGAGCCAAACCAGCTAGAGTGAAACTTGTGCTTTTAACACAACCACTTAAAAATCAACAAATCCAGGAGACAGAATAGAAGAGAGTATAACGTGTGAATCCAGGTTCATTAAACTAATGCATTTTTTTGAAAAACAAAATATGACAGAACATTTCATTATTGTCGCAGATACGAGAAAAAGTGTTATGCTGCTATTTATAATGTGTCCTGTGTGTCATGGAATTGAACTATTTCCAAATCATCAATAATTAAAATGATGAGAATCCATCATTTCACTGACATTTACTTCTACATGAAAAGATGGCCTGTTTTAAATGTGCTCACACATATTCTTGTCAATCACAAGCTGTCACAGCAAATTATTTCACTTTGTAGATCACATGACAACAAAAAAATCTCTCAGTTTAAATTTAGATCTTAGGTGTAATATCTTGAACTCTTTTCATGGATATTTTTCCTGTGACCACATCTTCACAATACAGTATGTAAAAGATGTAAAATGTTATTCATAATACTCAGTTACACTTCTGGTTAACAAAACTCAGGACTTAAATGAATGTAAGTGATAACTCTAAAGCCAAATGGTAGGATAGAACAGATAAGAGAGAATGGAATTGGGGGAAAAAAGGAGACATATGTACTACTATTTGTAAAACTTTAAACAATAAAATAAATTTTTAAAAAACAGAATGAAAATATAAAACTTAAAAAAAATAATTTCTAAACAATCAGAGCTCTATACATTGGAAGTTAGACCTAATGGATTAGGTCCGAGCAGTGTTTTTTTCCCTCACCTTCATTAAGATATTTAAGCAGCTTCAGGGCATGAACCGTTTTTTATGCTAGGTTTGCACTGCCTAGCAGTTATAAAGCAGCTGAACTCTTATAAACCCCATGAATCTGATGCAAGAATTTTCACTGTGCCCCATTAAGCAGAAGATTCAAGAACATAATACCTAAACTGCATGTCCATAAATCTGAAAACTTTTAAGTGTCTTTTCAAACAATTCATTAACTACATCTTCACAATTCTAGCAGAATCATTAATCAATTTTAGACTCTCCAAATGCCAGAATTGTAATACCTAACAAGACAGTTGATTAACATCAACTTTCTTTATAAAATATTTCTATTTTTCCCCATACATAACTAATCTTTCTGCTTAAGTATTCAACTTCAAAATGCAAGAATTATTCTAATATTGCATCTCAATAGGGAATCCTTCCTGTCAGTTTTGACCTTGGCCTGACCTCTATATACAAGCTTTGTGTTTTGAGGTATGTGATGAATAGCTCTCTAGCTTTCTATTAAATCCTGTGCCACTGGTTGTCAACAGTGATACTCAAAAGAGATAGTAAAGTAGTTAAAAAATCAGAGATGTTCTCTAAATAAGTTAATATTACATCTAGGCAAACAACAACAAAAAACAGAGATGTTCTATACATATTTTTCTACCTTAGCAAATCTGGAAATAGGTCAAAGGAAGGCATTTTTTTATTATCTACATTGCTTTTCCAAATAATAATAAAAAAAAATGAAGTATGGAAATATAATTGCCAAAATATACATAGGCTTATTTGGCCTTCCTGTGCCAGAAATGAAGTAAATTTTCCTATCACTTTGTTGAATATTGCTCTCAGTTTAAAGGATTTATAACTTATTTACCCAGTTTACGGTCCTTAACACTAGATTGCCCAAGGAAGTCATTTTGACTGCTTTTTAATTTCAATTAGAAAAACAATTATGTATATAAGGACACAATGTCTTAGAATTTTGTGACTTTTTGTACAACATATAAATGCGTTTATTAATAATTGTAGTTACCTCCCCCTCCTTCATTTCCGGTATATATATATATGTGTTATACCTATATTGCCCAAAAGCAGTCATTTTGACTGCTTGGGAAATTTTAAATAATCAAATGACTCTTATTATTGAATTGAGTAAATTTCTTATATGACCAGTTCGGCTCTGTATTGAAATAACAGTTTTCATTTTTTTTCGATTACCGTCACATAACATACAAGTACATGATAAATTGTCGATACTTGATAAGTTGCAGTTGCCCAATAAGCTAAACTAGTGCTTGTTATTCGAATCTTTATGCAGTGATACTTGTTCTAATAAGTTGTTTATTTTATTTCTTTTGCGCCCTAAATTCATGAAAGAAATGTCGAATAGAAGTGAGTTATTGGAAAAGCTAAGGAACATAAGTGAAGAGTGCTCCGGTATTATTCTTTCACAATGCAGTCATTTTGACTGCTTTTGGGCAATATAGGTATATACTAAATTTCAGTCTTTCTAGTGTTAAAGACCAGGGCTTCTATCCCTATGCCAGGACTCTACAGATAGTAGATACTTAATAAATATTAAACTTAGATTAAACTGAATTCAAAATTGGAGATGAAAGAATAATCATAAAAAAGACTATGAACTCTTCTTCCCACCTGTCTCTGATCTATCCTAGTACCTGGCACATAGTATGCTATCAATGAATGTTGGCTGAATGATTGAAAATCAGTATATTGAAATAATAATGACCAGTTGCTGACTTTAATGTCTGTTTGTTAACTGTATATAAATTATTCATGCTCATTTAGAAAGATAAAAGAGTAACACCCAATTCTCCTAACTGTTGTACTCCGGTTTACCTTTAGAATGTTTGCTTTTCCAACGTCTGAGAATGCCTCTTACCCTAAATTCATCTACTACCTTCAAAACTACTCATGAATGTTTTATTTTTTTTTATGGTACATTCAGGACAACAAGTTGGCAAAGTATTGATTTATCTATAAGACACATGCGAGAAAGGTAATTTTAAATTGTTTGAGAAAGTGTATGTGACATGAAATATGTATACATATGTATGACATATATACATACATATGAAATTTCCTCACACCCCTCTCAAGTTATCTAAATCAAGTTATACATTATCATACATATATACACACATATGTATAACATTTATTTACATTTATATTCTTAATGTTCTGAAAGAAATCAAATGCTGATTTTTAGGCTTATCTATGAACTTAGATGAGTGGATTTTTTCCCCATTCTACTTATCCTAAGTCTTTTTAATGGACATGTGATATGCTAGTCTGTGTCCAAGCTCACCTACCATTTCTTTTCTCAAAAGACAAGGCACATCTGCCACCTGCTCTACTCCGTGTCCCAGCAACAACTGTCGAGCAGCATAAAGATTGATTATCAGTCAAAAACCATTGCACAACACCAGATTTTGGTGGGTTAAGCTTGCTGATCCAGCAAGAGATGGTGTGAAATTTTCAGGAGTGTGTGCCAACATTTTGGTGCTAAAAGAACAGCAGTGCATGTCACAGTGAAACACAGCCAAAGATATGCAGACAAAGCAAAGAAGTTTTTGTTCGGGACTTGGCTTTAAAAAGGATAAAAGAGAAAACAAAAAGTAGGGGGAAATTAGTTTGTACATTTAAAAATCATCCACCAAGCTTAGTCATGTGTGTAACATTAGTATTTTAAGCATAAATGTCCAGGAAATTTTCTAAGAAGCTTAGATGTAAGTAATTTTTTATATATCTCTTCCATTATTATAAGAAAGGCAAATATTTCTTATTAATAAAAACAATCAAGGATCTTAAGAAAGTACTAATTATATAAATACCTAAATATAAAAAACTCACAAACATGCTTATATGCAAGCAGATGATTAATGAATACAAAATAAAGGCAGCCATATTTAAAGTTAAAACAAAATTAGAAAATGATATGGGTCTCCACTATTGTATGGGTAATTTTTACTGAGTATTGCAGCAACAAGTTTCTTTACAAGGACCAAATTAACTCGAACTTTCTATTGAATTCAATAAATTATTTCCTGATGATCAAGCATTATGAAATCTTAGTATTATTTTCTATGATAACATTCATAGAGAAATAATTTTTACCACTTCATCTGTAATCAACTCCAGAGTTATGCAATTACTGCCTAGACTTGCCTTTGGCTCATCAGCTTTTTAGCAGTTGCAGGAAAAAAACAACAACAACACAACTTTTAAGAAGATATAAAAAGCATAAGGGAGCACAGCAAGCAGTTAGATACACTGAATTTGTATGGCAAAGCTGTTTCATTTAAATGGGATTACCACATATAGGACTTGATAACAGACTTGGATATGGCATTTGGATATGGAATATCTAGAAGAATATTCTTAGATAGAAGTACTTTCATTTATCTCTTAAAATGTATTTTTTACCACTAAAGGAGGAAAACTGTTTTCAGTTTAGAAAATGTAAATGCACATTTTAAAAAAAGATCTTATCTACAAATAGTTCTAAAATATGTTTCTGTTTATATTTCATATATAATTTATATTATTATAATTTCTATCATGTATATAAGCATATATACATTTCAAGGTAAAAAAGTCAAGCTGTAGCATTTACCTTATGAAAAATTTTATTAGGAAAATTACATGTATATAAGAATTATGTGTTCATTACTGGCCACACTTTCATAATTATGTTAATGCCATCTGAAAAAAGACCAAGAGTGTAAATGCATAAGGGATACTTGAAACTTTGAACTATTTTCTAAGAGAATAAGTCTAATGAATTATGTCTGTTGGGTGTCACAGAAACTAAACAGTAAATTCAATAATCTCTGATTTAATTTATTATATTTTCACCATTTAACCTCCTGCAGGCTCCCTAATGTCTATTCAGATCTATATTAAATTAAGCACCAATGCTAATGAAGGGCAATAAACGTGGCTGTCAGTGGATTTTTCTTTCATTAACCACATTATCCTCTTACTGAGCTGTAAATGCGTAAACATTAGTTTTGTTAAACCATGCAAAAAAGACAGGATGAAAATCATTTTTTAATTGCATCCCTCAAGCCATTTACTGTACGTGGGGGTAGGGTTTTCTCTTCTTTTTTACCTTTAATTTTTTTGAATGGATCTAAAAAGGGCTCTCCCATTGAAACATAAACGTCGGCTTCATGGGGTATGTCTTCAGGTTCGAGGGCTTCAGAGCCATCTGCCAAGAACACTCGTCGTGCGGCCATGTTCAGACGCAGCTTCTCCGTGCACTCCTCCAGCAACTGGGAGAAAGCAAGAGGTAAGAGAAAGTGATTCACAAAAGGAGAGTTACACATTTCCATGAGACCAAACATGCTTCCAATCAAAACAGAAACTTGAGGCAATTGCCAGAGTTAACTTGAATAACTCCACCAGTATATTTTCTAGCAGTTGAAAATATACAAATAAAAGATAAATTACAGCACTAAGAATATCTAATAATTGTCTAATTTTAGTCCTTAAATATCCTGTCAGTTAAATGTTTTTATAATTCTACAAAATATAACATGTGTTTCACTAAATGTGTTTCACTTTTTATATGTTGGTGAAAAAGGAAAGGAAAGGAATGCCTGTGAGTTTTATGTATACCTAAGCAATTTATAGGTTCATATTACTAAAAAGAACATTTTGACAGAATAAATGTCATTTTTCTCCACTTTTATATTTTAAAGAGATTAAGGGAAGAAATGAAGCAATAAAAACTTTTGAACACTAGTTACCAAGGAGATGGTTGGTACAGCAACTTTGGCAAAGACTGTTCTAGATCCATTTTTGTAAGCTGTTACTCTAATCACTCTGGTTTGAAGCTTATGTCTTTGAGAGATTCTCTGCCAATTCTGGGCCGACTGAAATTTTAAAGAAGAGAACTCTGCAACTCTGAAGAGAGAGAAAAAAAAGTAAAAATTGTTGCATGTCAATTAGTAAAAACATTCAAAACCATATTATCCTGGATATTTTTTACACATACATATAAGCTCTAATGACTGTAAGTATTCTTCAAAAAAACTTTTTATAGTTGTATATAACTACTTAAATATTTAAAAACACTTAATACAGGATAAGTTTGCCAAAACTGTTCATGGGACAGTTTATTTCAGAATAAATCATTTCTATCATTTTACTTATAAAACATCACAATACTTGTTTTTAAAAATGATATTTTTTATATTAATTATGTTCTGATAGAAAGCATAAAATAGCAATATGGTCTTAATATTATAAAATACTTAGTGGAAAAATTTTTCCTTTAAGTTTTCATATTTATCAAAGTTCTTTGATTTATTTTAAAAGATTTCAAATTCAAGCATATCATGACAACATTTTTTAATCTAAAGTCAATTGTAATTGCTTTCATTTCAAATTATCTGGAGGAAGTAAAAGAAAATTTCTAAGTTTTGTCTTCAGTCAAAACCAATGTCAATCTTACTATTTTCTCAGCAAAGCATGTAATTGACTAAAATGTCAAAATTTTACTTCGGAGTTCTGTAACTAACCCTGTTAATTCTTAATGCTACAAAAGGCAAAGTAAACATTTTAAAATAAAAACTTTAGGGAAATTAAAATCACAATATATCCGCCTATTCAAACATATGAAAATAATGGTAGCATCAGTTTCTTGATTTGATTTTTATTTTACAAATATTTTATCCAATCCACAAACTCTTAGGTTAAAAGATTATTACAAACTATGTAAAAATACACAAAATAGTTTTATAATAAGTTCATTACAATTTAATTTTATTTTGGAATTTTGGGTAAATATCAAAAGTATGCATTTCTATTTTTAAACCAATACCTGGTAAGCAAAGATCTATCATGGTCCTAGACTGATTTTGTTTTAAATATTTTTTTAGAGTTTCATAGTATCCAGGGTGAAGTATATTTCATGTTTTCCACAAGTGTAATTAACAACTTTCTACCCCTATGCTTTCAAAGAAAAAAAAATAAAAAACAGAAACAAAACCCTAGCACTAGAAATGTGCTACATCTTAATGTCTGAAATAACCAATTGAATCATTATGAATTCTGCTCAAAGGGAAAAGCCTCAACAGTTGGTTAAAAAGAAGAGAGCACGGCTTTGATTACCTCGGTTGACCCTCCGGAGCACTGACAGGTCTGTTTCTCTTGGATGCTGATATAAAACAGGAATTGTTATTTCTGTTTGATTTGTAGCTATCCGGGTCTGATATTTCACCATGCCTATGATCTGATACTGTTTGATGTGTGGAGCAATTTTGAAGTCCTGACCCTTCTGATATTGCTGCTGAAAGCAACAGTCTGTTGGGGCCAAACTGAGGCTGCAAATAATCTTTAGTAGTTTTAATAACTGCTTTTGCCTGGGATGACATAAACTCCCTGGAAGAAACAATGCATGGAAGAATACAGTGAATTGATTTATATTCACTTATTAACAACTACCACATAATAACTGGTTTTGTGCCATGTGCTAGACAACATACTACACACTTAGCCATTATTTGTTTAATCCTTACAATATCCCTGGGAAATAGGTACTATTTTTATCCCCATTTTCCAGATTTAAGAAATTGTGGCTCTGAGAGGCTATTAATTTGCCCAAGCTCAAATAATTATTTAGTTGGCAGGGAGAAATTGAACCCAAGCGGATCCTAGGACAAAACCCACTTTCAGCCTTGGCCAGTGTTCTAAGTGGTTAGAGCGTTGGTCCACCATCCAAAGTCTCCAGTTAGATTTCTGGTCAAGGGCATGTACCTGGGTTGCAGGTTCCAACCCCAGTCCCCAGTCAGGGTGCATGCAGGAGGCAACCAACACACTGATCTCTCTCTGTCTCTGTCTCTCTCTGTCTCTCTCTGTCTCTCTCTCTCTCTCTCTCTCTCTCTCTGCTTCTCTCTGTGTGTCTCTGTCTCTCTCTATCCCCTTCCCTGCCTTCTACTTGCTCTAAAAATCAATGGAAGAATATCATCTGGTGAGAATTAAAAAGAAAAAACTCATGTTCATAACCATTAAATGTACTTACATACTTAAAGAAGAAAGCTGTGTAATCCTTGAAACAATATAAGTAAAATTTTTAAGTTCTTAGATTAATTACTTAAACACTAGCACTCTGCTAAGTATTAGGAAATACAAACGTTAAAGAGATGTGGTTACTACTCTTGAGAAAGTTGCAAACTAAACCCTAATAAAGAGAGAATATATGTTAAATAAACTGCTTAAACTCCTTGAAGACAAACTTATGTAGGCTGGAATAAAGTTGGGAAAGGCTTCACAGCAGACCTGAGATTAAGGTGACTAACTCATCCTGGTTTGGCACTGAAAGTCACACATCCTGAGGGTTTCAGGTCATACAGCTTATTACCAGAATACTCAGAAAGTTAGGAAAGTAAATGTACTCCAGAAAGGCACAAAGAGAACTAGAAAAACATTCATTGCTCTCTAAGACACTATAGACAAATAAGAACAACTCCAGTAGACTGCCACATTTTTGGCTCAGAAACCTCACCCCTTCCTCTTCCTATAACATTACCATTATTTCCTATCATTATTTCCAATGATTTTAGGAATTGGTCATTTTTTAAAAAAATAATAACCCCTCTTTGTGTTCACATATTGATGAGGTTTTCTACCACATGCTGGAATTTGACCTAATTTTATAACACAGATTTTATTCTTCACATTCTATGTCAGTGTTATTATCTTGTCCTACAAGTCTATGCTACGCCTCTACTGTAAATCTTTCATTATATCTGTAAGTAATTCATACGGTATACACAGACTTCAAGTAGTGTCTTCCTCAGTAAGATTTCTATGCTACCCTTGTATATAGGAATATACTTCCTTCCTGTGCACTGATGTCTGCCCTGGTAGACCTAATAGCTGGAATCACTATAGCTCATTCATTATTTCCTACCATCTAAAATGCTAGGCCTCTTTGCATTTGTATGTCCTCTTTGGAAAAGTGTCTATTCAGGTCCTCAACCCATTTTTTAATTGGATTGTGTGTCTTCCTTTTGTTGAGTTGTATGAGTACTACATATATATTGGAAATTAACCTCTTATCATTGTATCATTGGCAAATATGAACCCATATAGTGGGTTCCCTTTTCTTTTCTTTTTTTTTTTTAATCCTTACCCACGGATATTTATTCATTGATTTTTATAGAGAGTGGGAGAGAGAGGGAAAGATAGGTAAAAATATCGATGAGAGAGAAACACATCAATTGGTTGCCTCCTGCACAAGCCCTGACCAGGGCCTGGGCCAGGGAGGAGCCTGCAACCAAGGTACATGGCTTTGACCAGAATCGAACCTGGGACCCTTCAGTCTTCAGGCTGACACTCTATCCATTGAGCCAAACCGATTTGATGCTGGTTTATTTTGCTGTGTAAATAGCTTTATAGTTTGATGTAGTCCCATTTTTGCAGACTGGCGCAGCCACTATGAAAAACAGTGTGGAGTTTCCTCAAAAAAATGAAACTGCCATTTGACCCAGTGATCCCACTTCTAGGAATATATCCTAAGAATCCTGAAACACCAACCAGAAAGAATTAGACACCCTTATATTCACAGCAGCATTATTTACAACAGCTAAGATTTAGAAAGAATGCTGATCAGTACATTAGTGGAATACTATGCAGCTGTAAAAAAGAAGGATCTCTTACCCTTTGAGACAGCATGGAAGGACCTGGAGAGTATTATGCTAAGCTAAATAAGCCAATCAGAGAAAGAAAAATATCACATGATCTCACCTATATGTATAATCTAATGAACAAAAAAACCTGACAAATAAAATAGAACCAGTGACATGGAAACATGGAACAGACTGACAAGTCTCAGAGGGAAAGGGGAAGGAGGCAGGAATTGATTAAACAAAAAAATTATATGCATTTATGCATTGCCCATGGACACAGACTAGAGGTTGGTGAAGGATTGGAGTGGGTTGCGAACCGAGGGGAGGGGTGCAGTGGAAGAAAAAGGGGACATCTCTAATACTCTCAATAATAAAAACTCAAAAAGTAAAATAAGATGCTAGACCTCAATTTCTTTCAAATATTCCAATTCATCATTGTATTATTTCTTTTACCATTGGTATAAAAGCATTCTTTTTCAGACTGAAAACTAAATGCCACTATATATTAGGATGACATAAGAACATCAATCACATTACTTCAAAACTATATCTTTTAAAAATTATCTATCAATCACCTATCTATCTGTCTATATTAGTTTTCTATTGCTGTGCAATGAATTAGCACAAACTTAGTGACTTAAAACAGCACCTGTTCATTACCACACAGTTTTCATGTAGCAGGAGCCTGGACAATGCTTAACTGGACCCTTTGCTCAGGATCTCAAAAAGCTGAAATCAAGGTGCCAGCTGGGGCTACAGTTTCATCTGATGCTCAGGGTCTTCTTCCAAGCTCTTTCAGGTTTGGTCAGACTTTAGTTCCTTACTGCTACAGAACTCATAGTGACTATCATCTTTGAAGCCAGTAGGAACTCACTCACCTCTCTGACTCTTCCAACTCTGATCTCTGAATTGTCATTTAAAGGTTGATCTGATTAGGTCAGGCCCATTCAGGATAATCTCCCATTTGGTTAACTAAAAAGCACTGATTATGTTCCTTAACCACAACGGCAAAAATCTCCTTTGTCGAATCTGAAGGGAGATCATCTATGTGGAGGCCGCTGAAGGAGCAAGGGGTCCCAGCTCCAGACCCCCATCTCAGGGTCCCAGAGCTGGGGAAAGAAATCCCTACGGGCAGTAAGAACTACAGGCTGTAAAAACCAGTATGGATTGGGGCTCAGTGACACAGAGCTGCTGGAGACCAAGCTGTTCCTTTTAAAAGGGTGACACCATAAATTGAACTTACAAGGTCCTGCTTCCTCTGAGCTCCAGCACCAGGGAGAGGCTCTGGGGAACATAGACACATACGAGGAGGAACTGGATTGTCTGGCATCGGGGCAGGAACTTGGGGGCAGCTTTCTCCCAGATGGAGGTGCTCTCAGGGATCATTGTTCCTATGCTGGAACCTCCCCAGTTGCAGGGTTGACTGGCAGCCATTTCTTTTTGCTCTGCCCTGCTGATTCCCTATGACCCAGCCTCATCCAATTTACAACCCCACCCAAGTTGTGTGCAGCAGCTTTTACATAATAATGGCCTGTCCTTGCTCAGGCTAAAATCACTCAAACAAGCGGCAGCTGGGTCAGGGAGCCCCAAACCTATCAATAAAAGGCCCAAGACCCAGCACCAGCACCAGCCTACCTTGTTTCATGGCTGGGCCTCATCTGGGCACTTTCAAACCCGATGCAAAGAGGAGGAATCTGCAGATCTCTCTATAGCTCCTGCTGGGTGGTCACAGGCAGTGACTGACTTTGCACCTCCCTGGAGATCCAAGAGCCAGTGTACCCAGTGGTCAGTGTCAGACCATACCAGATTACAACTCTATACATCCATAAGCAACACACTCAAGGGGCAGACTCAGTGAACACCTAAGCCCCACTGAAGCAAATCCTGCTCCATAGGGATGTCTCCTTCACAGCAGTTCTCCCACTATAGTCAAAGTTGGTCCTCACAGCCAATTGGCCTGGAGGTTAATTCATCCCAGTGACACCAACAGCAATCAAGTCTCAACTATAACAAGACTGTACACAATCCACAAAGGGGTGCACATAGAGGGCCCAGCACAGGTGACTGGGAGGCTGAGCCACTGGGCCCTATAGAACACCTACTACACAAGGCCACTCTACCAACTCAAGGGGACAGAGCAACTCTACCCAATACATACAAACAAACAAAATGTGGAGACAAAGAAACATTTCATAAATGAAAGAAATGGAAGAAAGCAAAGTATTGGATATAGAGTTCAAAACCATGGTTATAAGGTTACTCAAGAATCTACTAGAAACCTCCAAATGGAAAAGGACCAGTCAGAAATTAAGCATACACTGACTGAAATAACGAATATATACAGGGATTCAACAGTAAAGGATTCTGGGAATCAAATCAACGATTTGAAATATGAGAAAGCGAAAATCACCCAACCAGAAAAGCCAAAAGAAAAAGAATCCAAAAATATAAAGACAGTGTAAGTGTAGGGAGCGGCTATAAGGTCAAGCCTTGGACTGACCTGTGGCAGGGCCACAAACAAGTCCTAACTTGGAGGGCAGAGCCCTCCTAGCATAATTAAGCATGACCCTATAGTCCTCCCTTGTTCCTAGAAAGCTAATGGGCTGTGGGATGTGCAGCAAGTGCTGCCTAAACAAAGCTTGATAGAGAGTAGGGAATGGCAACAACAGGAAAGAAGCAGATTTGAACTTTGCAAGAACATTATAAATATGTTGACCACTTCCCTTGTTTTGCTTTGTGTGCTCTGACTAT